GGGGGGGGGGAGTAACTTTCACAGAGACTTCTACGGCACTTGCAACACAAATAGGCCATACGCAACTGCCAAAGATTTGGTTGTTATTGAAATGTTGTATAATTAGTTTTACCGCACTTGCAACACAGTAACGTCATAACATAAGTACCGAAGATCAGAGATGTTACAAGAGAGCAGCAAACACAAAAAGGAGGAGATAAGGATAAAGATAGATGTTAGATAAGAAAGAAGGAGCGAACCACACCAAAGCACCCGTCAACCACCCACCTATACCCCGCTCTAGCTTCTGTCTGTCCGACTCTTTCCATGCCCAAAAGGATTGTCATTACGTCGAGGTGTTTCTCTTTCCTCAACTCGGGCGGGGAAGCGGCAAATAAATCCCTGCGGTTTGCACAGCCCTGTCCTGTCCTGATCCGCACTCAAGTCGGTCGGTCGGTTGGTCGGTGCGGGAATTGAGTGTGTCAGATAGGACTCTAGGTTACCGCAATATCGGTACTGACACTTCGTTGGCTTTGGTTTAAGTGAGAGTTGTGCGGACTTGCAACACAAATGGGTCAAATTTTAGTGCAGAAGATTAGAGGTGTTGCTAGAGAGTAACAGACGGTAAAAAGAAAAGATGGAGAAGAAATAAGGACGACAATATCATGTTTGAAAGAAATGAAGGAGCAAACCACACTAGAGCACTCGCAAATCATCCAAACACTTTATGAGAAACCGTGACTCGTGACTTCCAGATAAATGATAAATATCCCCCCAAAGAGCCCACCATACGCCCACTCCAGTGCAGCATAATAACATTTATTACATCTAGCGGGAGATACGGCAAGGCCGGCCCAGCGTGCTACAGATACGTACAAGGTTCACCTCGCCACAGCCTCGTCTTGACACTGTTATCTAACTATAGCAGCAGATAACAAAGGACATTGATCGAACAAGCCAAGACAAACTCGTGTGGCACACGTAGACCCTCTTCAAAACCAGCACAAAAAGCATTCGGTAGAACCAGTACAAAGATGAAAACTAAAAGAAACGGACAGTACAGAACATAGATCCAGACCAAAAAAAGAAAACTCATTTAAAGCATTTTAAATAGAATTGGAACCGGACAAGGCAGCACAACAAAATATCAAAAAGAAAAGATAATTACAGAAACACGTAGACTACAGTAAGGCAAGCCGCCCTATGTACCAATATAAGTGGCCTTTAGATCGCTACACAAACAAAGATGTCGCGGTCACCTTCAGGGTTCTACATGACTCTCAGCAGGTCCTCGTGAATGTTCACTATCAAATCATTTTTTCTGCTTTTCATATAAACATTTTTTGTTGGACAATGGAGAGGTACCACTACCAGTTGAAATAAATAAGACTGATAAAAAAAATATCAGAGGCTAAGTGTTAACATTTGTAACTAAAACTGAAACAAAACCTCTTAAAAGGGGGGATTGGGAAACGGCTTGGAGGAAAAGACATTTCAGATCTTGGAATATCCACCCCTGTAGAGGTAATCAAAATTCCTCCTTCTGTAACCCCCCCCCCCCCCCCCATTATAGGCCTTTACGATCAGAACACTAAACACAGTTTTGGTTGAACACACGGGGGTTAACCAACACGTTTATTGAGCTTTTATTTTTAATATTGGAAATCGATCTGAGCTCAATTCACTGGTATAGACAAGACATGTGGTTGAGTAAGGCCCTGGGCACACTAAGACATTTTCAACTCGCCGCACGGCTGCCAGTATTGTAAATGAAGCAATTTCCACCTGTTCGTCGCTTTTCGCAGCCAAATCACGTCATACTTTGCAGCTGCGCGACCAGTGAAAATTGTTTTTGTGTGTACGGGGCCTAGACAAATGAATGGTACGGGGGTGTGGCGGGGAGGGGGGGGGGTTACAGAATCGCACGACATGACTGAATTCGATACACATAAAGCGTGGTTAAGTATTATAATATCAGGACTATGTTACAGAAAAAAAGAAAGAATCTGTTCAATGGGAACATAATGGAGAGGGAAACCAAAGTCCACGAGGAGAGGGCAAATGTGTGCAAACACGATCCCGCTCAGTCACCACTCCTATTGTACATGCTGACCTATCACAATAGAGCAGAATACTACACCAACGACGTGTTGACAAAGACGTATTTATTATTCATGATGAGAGATTGATAGAATCCAAGGTCCACACAGATCACTCGACACTGTCTTATTAACCCCTTACCAGCCTGCTAAAAAAAGAAAACAACGCCCCGACTCATCTGAATAGGTGACAAAATGTCATTTCTCAGATTTAGAAATAGATTCATCAGCATTTATATACACAGAAAAAAACAGGCACGTGTAAGTGTTTTTACACCCCCCAAGACACAATTTAGTTTAGTTTTAGTAGAGGTTTTACGGCGCTCGCAACTGCATAAGGTCATATGAGCGCCAGAAGATCAGAGGTGTTACAAGAGAGTAACAAACATAAAAA